GGCCAGGTTTCTGATTTAATTCCGCAGCACATGCTCGGTTAGATTCTGCCGGTATGTGGGGCAAGAATGTTGTCCATCGAGATCTCAAGCTGGCCAATATTCTGGTGAGTTGATAGAATATGTACTATGGGGAATTATAAACCAGGTAATGAAATGAAGAAACATTCCTTATCGTCTTATTTTAGTCATTTTGTTCGAAACGAGTATTAGATAAACTCTATTTTTTCGGTCCTTTGGAAAATTTGCATGCAAGATTCTCCTGGTCGATTCTCTTTTGATAGAGATTTTGAAAAATAAGAAACCTTAGGAAAGTAACATGGCCCTAGATTATTTGCAGAATGGATTGAGCTAATAACATCGAGTTGGCAATCCGACCCAAGTTTGAGGCGAATAGCCGCAGAATGTAAGGACGTTATTAAGACAATTCAGCATCAGTATGTTAAGAAGGGTAAAGGTTGATTTTTCACCCTTTGCGTGTACAATAATTCCATGTTATTTTCGAACAACTGACAGCCACGTTCAGATGAGTTAATCCTCATGGACCAAGAGAGAAGATCGGGCGAGATGAAATATAACTAGGATTTCTGCTCGACCTAAAAGATGACTCGATGGGCGAGAGAGCTTGGCCCTTTAGCCCGTCACGTAAACTTTTGTAATGTCAAGACGCCCCAAGTGACATCGCCCTCCAGTAAAGTAATTGTCCAAAGAATAAATTTGGCGAGCGTGAAGAAACGCACCTTTTTTTAATTTCTGTGATCAAAGCGCAATGACGTACTTTAATTGATACTTACGGTATTAAACCATTGATTATGCAGGGTGAGTTTGATTTTTCTGTCAGGTCGACGTGACTTTACATTAATAGCGTTTTTGACGGAACAAAGTAGTGAGCATAACTGCACGAACTGAGAAAGTAAAAACTTGTATTTATCTCTCATGTGTTTCGTCTGACAATAACAGACTCCGTCAAGGGGTATTTCAAGCAGGGTGTATGAACTTGCACATATGTAAATAGTAAATAAGTGGCCT